GGTTCGATGTCGATGAAGATGAGCGACCCAGTCCGCTCAGTGACGAGTCCGAGTCTGGTGGGTTGTTTCCGTCTTCTTCGGCTTCTTCTTCTTCGGCTTCTTCCGACGACGACGACGATGATGATGGGCATGTCGGAGAGTTTTACGGGTTGCGAGAGAACAGAAAGAGGAGCACTCTGGTTGCTGATCCGGATTTCGCTTTCCCCGTCGTTGATCATGGCTCTGTTCTCCTTCAAGACGGCGAAAGCGAGACCGAGTCGTCCAGGATTAACCCGACTCGGAGACGATCCAAGCGGACCCGGAAACTCGGAGGGTTAGATGTTGACCACAGCCGCGGACAGGACAACGTGAAGAAGCCGAGGACGAGTCAACTCGGTTTCAGGACGGAGCCGGAGCATCTAAGCTCGGCTTCCGACACGACGACGGAGGAAGATCTCGCCTTTTGTCTTATGATGCTGTCGAGGGACAAGTGGAAGCAGAAGAGCAAGTCGAGAGAGGTACAAGATCAAGATAACAATGATCACGGAGAAGAAGAGAACGACATGGATGAGTCCCAAGGTTACAGAGAAAGCAAGAACAGAGCAAGAGGCAAATACAAGTGCGACACTTGCGATAAAGTGTTCAAATCGTATCAGGCACTGGGTGGACACAGGGCGAGCCACAAGAAGAACAGGGTCTGCAGAACAGAGCATCCACGACGTGCGACAGAGTACGAGGTTGGAAATGCGGTTGCAGAGAAGAAAATCCACGAATGCCCGATCTGTCTTAGGGTTTTCCCGTCGGGACAAGCTCTGGGAGGTCACAAGAGATCCCACGGAATCGTCAGTTCGAATCAAAATCACGTTCTTCGAGTCGATAAAGATGCCTCCCTGACGAATCGGAGGTTTATTGATCTGAACCTTCCTGCGCCGACCGAAGATGATGAAACCAGCCAAGCCGAAGTCTCTGTTGTGTTCGATGAATGCTGAGAAAAGGTAACAGACTTTGCGTGATTCGGGTTGTCAAAAAGTCTTTTTTTTTTTGTTGCAAAGTTCGAAACTTTTTTTTTTATATTTTGTTTTTGATGGGTCGAGCTCGAATTTCATGTTTTATTTAATTTCAAGAAGCCGCTTTTTACATGTCCCAACGCCACTGCCTTTCATATTCTTCCTCCTCACGTCGTGGCGAGCCTAACTCACGTCTACCACTTAGTCTAATTCTAATTTCTAACCCTTTTGATTCATTTTCACATTAGAATCAGATTTCTGTTTCATCTGCCCACCAACTTAAACTTCATTTCAGATTTACCGAAACCAAAAACCAATCACGACCCTCTAAAAATCAATACCAATTTCCTCAGAAACACCCATTTGTTGGATTACAACCAGAGTTAGCAGAAAATGGAATCTGTAGCCACTGACATGCACAAGAAGAGAGAAGAAGGTACGGCGTTTGGGGTTACTGAGCAAAGGAGCGAAAACTCAACTGTTCCAGAAAGTCATACTTTGAAATTCCTCCTCGGTATCTTCTCTGTCTCAGTTTGATGCCTTTGCTTGTCGCAGAGCCACTCGTACGGCATCCTGAGGCTGACACCAACTTCCAGTACTCGTATCTGAAACGTGTCTTTTCTTCCTCACTGGTCTCCCTTTGATTACACAGCTTGATTACTGTACACAAACATGAACATTAGAAGTGGCATTTCGATGAGCCAACGTATCTACCACGGTATGATTTAGATGGGCAGCACCCACTATTCGTTACACCGAAAAGCAAATATTTATGCAAGTATTATTATCATTATTAGTGGATAAATAAATGGGATGGTAATATTAGTTGACTTTTTCTTGTAATCTTTTGTTTGGGTTGGCATCATTAAAAGCATTCGAGATAGAGAGAGAGAGAGAGAGAGAGAGAGAGAGAGAGAGAGAGAGATGGATGGTGTGTGGTTTAGCAAAGAAGCAAAAGATGTCTGGTTAGGCGTGACAAAAGTGCCTCTCTGACTCGATGCACCAACAGAGAGAGAGAGAGGGAGAGATTACACAATGAGATTAATGTTTCATTTCGATTTTCTGCAATTAATGGTGACAAGTGCTTTCCATTAACACTGCTTTCCATTCATCTGACACTTTTGTATGCTTTGAGTTTTCCTTTATCGAAATGTCCAAATGACTTCGACGTGGCCTCTTCAACGAAACTCCCTGCCGGCGGATGAGATTTTTATTCACACAACTGATTATATATTAATATTATAATTATCAATCATATTATTTTCATTCGAAACGTGGGTTAACACTCGATCTCCTCGGATTTTGAATCGAATTCTAAGGAATTACCCTTAAATTTCCCGATACCCTATTTAATGGGTTGGAATTAAGTTATATATATGTATGTTCACATCCCCTAAAATGACAACATCTAAATCTCATCGCATCACATAATAAATGATGCATCTATGATCAACGCATTGTTTTTATCTTCTCATGAAAACAACAATAGAAGAAACGCAATAAATATTTTGAAAACGTATGAGCATTGAAATATAGAAGATGCATGGGGCATTTCTTTTAAAAACAGAATTAACCCTAACGTAGACTTAGCGTGCGTGTGAAACCGAAGGGGTTACGAAACAAGGGAACGAGTTTTAAGCATAAGAACGGCGGCGATTAGAGTAATTAAATTATAGATTTAATTGAGATTAAATAAAGGGGACAAAGACAAGGTGTGTTACTGTGAAGCATGCTGCTCCAAGTCACAGATGGGTTCTGTTCTGTCAGCCGAAACTGTAATCATGAGTTGGTGTAGATGTCATGCATTTTGTATGATCATCATTATTCGTACCTATGATATATATATATTAAAAACACTTCAAGGCTACGTGAAATTTCTCATGACAATTCATTAACGTTATTCAAATAAAATCTTAAATCTCTGGAAATTAAATCTCACACACATTCTATATATATATATATATATGTGTGTGCATGTACATGCACGTGTACTATTAAAATCATTCGCATGTATTGAGTTTTTATTAAAATCATTTGGTTTTATTTTATTTAGATTTAAACCATATTCACATATCAAAAGTTGATAAAATTATGCGAAAATAAATTCGCCGTAGCCGTATAGTTTACATTACGAATTCTGATTTTTGGGTGTGGGTTGAAAATTCAAAAGGAGAATGGAACAACACAACACAACTCTTAACTTACGTCGCTTCCTTATGACGACTTCGTCGGCAAAGGAAACAACAATACACATAAAAGATTTGTTCCAAAAAGGCGAATCGGTCAAAGGACCAACCTTTTTCTCATTTTGAACGTTTTATATATACCATACTTCCACACACACATATATATATATATATATATACGTGTATATATGTATATATATATATATATGTTACCAACAGAAATATGTTGGTAAAGAAATTAAAGTCTTTGGTTATAATTTCGGCCGAGGGACTTGGAAGACCGAGACCAACTCTCACAAATACTTCAACACGGTCTATATATACGTATGCACCGTTTATTTCATGCATTGTTCTCTTGTTTTTCTAGAAAGTGTTTGTTACCAAATGAATATTATATTCCAATAAATTTTACGTATAAAAATGTCTTTAATGTTTTTATTATTTGTAAACTATATTATTAATTATGAAATGAAATTTTATTTGGAGGATATGCATCCCTCGTGCCCTTTCATTTCCATCGTTAGTAATAACGATTCCTCTTGTAAATTTACATTCGTCAATATTTTCCAAATTTTATATTCTATTTACTGAAAGTTTATGGGCTGATTGATCATATGAGAGCCCAAATATTTTTAACTTAGGCCTGGACGCTTCAAGAACTTAACCCGTGTTTTGTCTATTTTGTATTGTAAAGTGTATCAGTGTGTGCATATATGCATTGATGATGTACTTGGACCATTTTTCTAAAATCCACGTGAATGCATCTTTATGGGATGATGAGCGACAGAAAATTGGTTACACAAACCCTCCATCATAAATTAAAAATCGATATGGGCATCACGATAACTACATTTTCCTTGCACTTATTGTTGATTAGATCGAAATGATATACGATCCAATTCTAAAAGCATATGGAAATTATGTGCAATGGCAGTTTACTTGTTAAAGAAAATTGCGTACCAACTTACCCAACTCGCCAAACCTAAACAGGAAAGGAAGAAAAAGTCCAAGTAAGCAATGGTTGCATGGATGGAACCAAATAGGATTTAGACGTGAGGGCATCGTATATTGGTATTGGTGGGATATATATAAGAATAATGGAATCGATCGTCAGGTTAATGCTTGGGCCATAGAAATATCATATATATATATGTATGCATATAAGAGATTATAGATGTAAGATTAAATCATTCATCCTCTTTGTTTGATCTCGCATATGCTTCCGTGAATTGTTATTATATTCTCTCTCTTGTTTTTTTATATAAATATGATAGTAACCGAATTTATTTTTTCCATGTTTGGTCACCGCTTATTCATCTTTTACATAGAAAAATGCCCAGTAGATAGAGTGCGTATTCCCCCAATTCATCATATTGTTTGACATATAGATTAGAATCAATATTTAGAATTTTGGATTGATTATTTTTAAATTTGCATTTTTATATTGAATACATATATTATGTTGGATTTCAGCTTTTATTTAGGTTTACTTTCAGATTCAATTTCTAATGAACTTGTTTTATGAAAAAAAATGACTTTTAGTTTTATTTTACTATTTTAGTTTATTTGATAATAAAAAAAAGTTTTGTGTATTTTATTAGTGTTTTGCTTCATCCAATTAATGTTTAATAATAACTGGTTAATATGACAAACTATTAGATCTCATGATGCTGCTATATACACATATATGCTTTTGTTTATAAAATTATTGAGGATCCTGACAAATAAAAGCAATTAAAGAAGTTACCTGAACACAGATATCTCTCGATTCGAGAGCAAATATTTCAGGGATCAAACCCTAATTTATAGGGTTTATACCTTAGAGAGAGAGGGCATGAAGTAAGCATACTATAATATACCAAAACGTACCATTAAGGGTCCGGTCAAAATAAAAAATAATAATAATAATTTAAAAAAGAAAAAAGAAAACATAAGACCAAACACAGTACTCAATAACCGAATATGCCGAGGATTTCCCTTTCACTTCAACCACTTCCATTGCCTCTTTTTTCACAAATGCCCACAAATACTCTTCGTCACGCCTCCAAGCAAGCGAGGCATATGCTCATTCATATTCTCTTTCCTTTTCACATCCATCCCCCGCACCCTCATCACCATTCTCTCTCTCTTATATATCCTCTCCCTTTTCTCTCTTCAGATCATTCCATAGGGTTAATTAATTTCCCTCTCTTTTATTTATTTTTTTGTTAAAGTCGATATTTTGTTCGTTGGGTTAACTCCGCGTGTAATCGATCGATGAAGTTCGGGAAGAGGATCAAGGAACAGGTCCAAGAAACGTTGCCGGAGTGGAGGGACAAGTTCTTGAGGTACAAAGAGCTGAAGAATATGGTCCGTCAGATCTCGTCGTCCGCCGCCGACAAGGCCGGCGAGGTCTCCTTCGTCCACTCCCTGAACTCCGAGATCGACAAGTTCAATGCCTTCTTCGTCGAACAAGAAGAGGATTTCATCATCCGCCACAAGGTGTGTGTATATATATCTATATTCATAATTGTATGTATATTTTATATTTTTCTCAGTAATTGATAAACATTAGAATACTTTGTGTATAGAGCTTAGATACATGCAAAACAAATCTTTTCTTGCGTTTGCCGAGTCAACTCGCTCGGCTCGGCTGGCTCGGTAAGCTTTTGTACATTAATTCTTGTTTACAAGACAAATGGGAAATCGGCGTGAAAGAAAAAAATTATGTCTTTATATTATTATGATATGGGCTCATGTAGGAGTTGCAACATGGGATTCAGCGGGTGATGGAGACGTGGGGCCCAAACGGAACCCACTCTTCGGAAGAGAGGTTTAGGGAAGTCATGGGAGAAATCAGAAAGGACATCGTCAACTTCCATGGCGAGATGGTCCTTCTCGTCAACTACAGCAACATCAATTACACAGGTTCCATCCTCCTCCTCCTCTCTCTCTATCTCTAGATCGATTCCGATTTTTCTGATCGGAGACATTCAGGTCCGCAGGATTGGCGAAGATACTGAAGAAGTACGACAAGCGAACGGGAGGAGTGCTTCGATCGCCGTTCATACAGAAGGTTATCCGGCAACCGTTCTTCAAGACGGATCTTGTCTCGAAGCTAGTGAGAGAGTGGGAAACCACCATGGACGCCGTGTTTCCGGCGGAGGAGAGAGAAGGGAGCTCGATTGCGGCGGTGACGGTGGCCGGAGAAGGAATATTCCGGAACACGGTGGCGGCGCTGATGACGATGAGGGAGATGAGGAGAGGGAGCTCCACTTACAGCCATTTCTCTCTCCCGCCGCTAAATCTCCCCGACGCCGATCTCGTCCGATCCGTTCATCTCTCTTCCCCCATTCCCATTCCTTGATGAAACCGCCGTCAATGGCATTATCGTTATTATTAGGATATTTTCACCTACCACCACTCGTCTTAGTTAAAGTTAACGCTCTAGATGTTATATAATCACATATTCAATTCACAACATGGAATTGTTTGATGTCGTCTGCTTATCCAATACGGAATCATCGTCTGCAACAGCTCGAGTTCATGTGGACCGACTCTTTAAATATGACCAAAAAACCTCAAATGTTCCAAAGAAAATCTACACATCTCAAAGGGTAATCTCGTAAATTATGGATTCAAAAGTGCAAGTGACGTTGCAACAGTTTTTCGCTGGTCAAATCTATGTAAGCATTAAGACGAAAAGACGACAATACCCCTGACTTGAGGCTAAGATCTAAAGGGAATGAAACAAGACAAACATCACTGTCCCACGCTTACGTACTCTCTCTCCGCCGGGAAATCGTCTTTGGTTTTGATCGTTTAAGTCTCCGGCGATTTTAACGGAATGGGTAACGGCGATCTCCTCTCCGTCGAGCCACTAGAGCTTCAATTTCCTCGTAAGCTTTTTTTTTTTTTGATCTCCTCTCCGTCGAGCCTCTAGACCTTCAATTTCCTTGTAAGCTTTTTTTTTTTTTTTTCCAATTTTGTAAAGAATCTTCCTTTACAGATCCACCTCTTGGGTGTTTATGATTTTGTATTTTGGTTTGAAACTTGATGCAGTTGAATTGAGGAAGCAGATCTCTTGCTCTCTATACTTGACAAACAAGACCGACAATTACGTGGCCTTCAAGGTGATAACCCTTTGCATAGTTTCTTCCAATTCCCCCGATTTTAGTTGGAATCTGTGTAATTTCATAAAGATTTGTGCCTATGACGGTTTTGTTGGTACTTTTTAGGTTAAAACCACGAACCCTAAAAAGTATTGTGTTAAGCCGAACACTGGAGTTGTTCTTCCGAGGTCCACGTGTGAAGTTGCAGGTCTGTCTCTGTCTCAAGCTATCTGGGATTGGGTTTTTTTTTTTTCTTCTGTAAATATCATCATGTATGGTCAAATGATGAATTTGATTGGTGTAATTTAGTGACGATGCAAGCCCAGAAGGAAGCTCCGGAAGATATGCAGTGCAAGGACAAGTTCTTGCTCCAAGGTGTAGTGGCAAATCCCGGGGCCACGACAAAGGATGTTACTCCAGAGATGGTACTGACATTGACGGATCATTGGTTTCTTTTTGAAGTTAAACCAGATTGTTTTTTTTTTTTTTTTGTAATGAATTGGGTTTTGCAGTTTAGCAAAGAGGCAGGGCATCAGGTGGAGGAAACTAAGCTGAGAGTTATTTATGTCCCTCCACCTCGACCACCATCACCAGTCCAAGAAGAATGTTCTGAAGAAGGTTCTTCTCCAAGGGCTTCAGCTTCAGATAACGAGAATGCTTCTGAATTCACTGTAAGTAGATCATTACACAACCTGAATCAAGTAGCTGAAAACTAGAGTTTAGGGCTCCGTTAGAGGTTACTCGTCATGTTTCTTTCTGGTTAATTTTAGGTACCGAGATCTAGCATCGACAGGGTTGAGCCTCGAGAGAACTCATCTGAGGTATTCTCATATTGCTTCTCTATTCGTCTCTTTAGTTGATTGATATGATGAACTCTTGTAGTTGGTCTCTCTTGACATCATGAAAGATTCATTTTCTCCTTAGCTGAATATTAAACTCTTTTGGTTTTATCACTAGCAATGATCGTTCCTTGTTTTACGACATCTTTTCCCTTCATGACTTATGTATAAGCAATGTTTTAATGGTCTTTGAAAAAGGGTGTTGATGTAGTATCAAGAACTAGTCGAGTAATGCTTAGAGATGTGTGTTTTTTCAGGCCAGAGCCCTCATCACTAAGCTGACCGTAGAAAAGAATTCTGCCCTTCAACTGAACAAGAATCTTCAACAAGAACTGGTAAGTAACTGTCACTTGGTCCTCCTTGCCAGTTGCAAGTTCATATCGTGTCTCGGAATGAGTTTCTTCCAGATGCATATCTGATGATCATGAAAGCAAAGAATTCTATGTTAATTCGTCATTCCTTAAACTCCTAGCCTTTTCCTTTGCTTTTGGGTTGTTCCTTTTCTTGATTTACCCTGAGAAAAACACTGCCATACCGGTAAATCTGGTCACTTTATAGCTCTTAGCACATCACTATATCCTGATAATTTCCGAAATCCGGTATGCAGGAGCTTCTGAGGCGCCAAAGCAAGAGAAGTCACGGTGGTGGTATCTCGGTGAAGTATGTTCTTCTGGTTGGACTAATCGGTATAATCTTGGGATATCTTTTGAAGAGGACATGACGCCGCCTGAGTTAGTTCATCAGTTGAAGCTCTCACCCGTGAAATCTGAAATGTTAAAAGAAGAAGAAGCTTCAGATCCATCAGCGGTTAACTACCAGAGTTGGGAATTCAGTAGAACATTATCTCTTGTGTTGTCGTTCACTTTTTGTTTGTTTGTAGAATCTGTACTTGTTGTTTTCCATTTGTGATCCGATGACTTATTTCTTTCTGGGAAACCGATTGTTTTAGAACTGACATTACAGTTCGTGTTTTGTATTTGTGAGTAGAGATTATAATTGCGAGTTCTTGGGACAAGTTCGAGAGTGTCCGACAACATGTGGAGAGTTCGGTTCTGAAGAAGCAAGAAGCAAGAAGTGCTCTGCCGTGTTCAAAGCTAAAAAACGAAGATTCTTGTTCAAGGGAAATTTCCAAGTTGCTCGTCCACGCGTCTACAGAAGCGCGTGCTATTCAGACTCCCCTCCCATCCAACAACCTCTCCACCGTACAAAGGTCGCGACGAGTAATCAAAACCACGATCCAAAGCCTCCCCGTCCCACCGGCATCACGATGCGGTGAATTCCCTCCTCTTCGTAAAAATCGTTCCTTTTCTTTTGTTTGTGTTAGATTCTCATTTCAACGTCGCCTTTCTATACCGCTCTCAGCTACTTCTCTCCGCTCATGTCGTTGCCGTTCTTCCTCCAAGAAAATCCCATTTCATTCCGAATGTGGATTCGAGTATCGCCTTCGAGTCAAACCCAAACGGCCCCCGATCCGTGTTTCTGCCATAGCCGGTGCTGAATTGAGCGGGTTTGACGATGACATTTCAAAGGAGGTAACTTTATGCTTTTCCGAATCTTTTGATGTGTTGTTACACTCACTCCCTATAGTGTCTGGGTCGAAAAACACAGTATGACCAAGAGGCATCAAGTGGTTTGAAGGTTTCATTGCCAGTTGTCTGATTCCATGAGCCTCTTTGGCCTGTCATGGAACTTTGCTGAAATGGCTGTCTTTTCAGGAAGTTAATGGCGGCCATGGAATTGCAAAACGTGAGAGATTCTGGTTCTAAGCATCAGGGGAGAGCAAGCCGGTTCAAGAACAGGCTCGTTTTCATAATATTATATTTAGACAGTTAAACCAAGGACACGTGTTCGAAACCATTAACATTGAAAACACAGAACTAAGACTAAAAACATGGAGATGAGCTTACATCTGACATTTCCAAGCGGAGACGGAAACAAGTTCTGTCCTCTGCCAACACAATACAAGGGAAGACGAAGACAGCCTCTTCTCCACGTGGATGCCTCTCCCCGGACTCCTCTGCACCAGACACTCTGCCTGTGCCTCCGCCGCGTGGCTCACACTCGACGCTGTGAACCCACCTTGTCCGAAGAGGCTCCTCCATGGTGGCGCTCTCTCCGTCCAGTGGTGCCGATTTACCAGCAGCCTCTGCATCGACGGCTGCAGCCAGAGCCTCTCGATGCTGTCCGCCACGTCGGAGCTTGGTTTTGCAGCATCCAGGGACTCGAGGAGGGAGGTGTAGTACTGAAGGGCGTGGATCACGGCGTTTGGAAACGGCGCATCGTTGCGGTCGCAGCCTCTGTCGGAGCAAACGACCACGTTTGGTGAGATTTGTCTGAGGAAACGGAGGATTAACGGAAGACAGCCAGAGATAACGGAGCTGATGGGGAGATTCACGGCGATGGCTTCTTTTTCCGACGAGCGAAGGCGCAGAGGCCAGTGAATTGGGTCCAGAAGCAGGTCGAGACAGAGGAGTTCGATCTTGACCGGAATCTCGACTTCTTCGGCAAAGGTTCTAAGGCATTCTTCAGCGAAACGGAGCTCTAATTCGTCAGAGAATGTGGACGGAGAAGCAAACGCCGTTATTTTCAACGGCGGAGCTGCTCTGTTTCTTCCGACGAGTTCTTGCATCAGAGAAGCCCATTGGCTACCGAACCCAACATCGAAATCGATAATGTGGATCTGATCAAACCCTTCCAAGGAATCGAGGATCGCCTGATTAGCCGTAAAGTTGACGAATTGAAGGAACGGAGACGTTTCTGAGAAGGCCCTGTAAGCAGCGATTCTCAAAATCAGATTTTGGGGTGAAGAAATCGCAGAGTCGGAGACGAGGAGCGAGTAGAGTGCTTCGGTGAGGTACAGAGCCGCTCTCTGAAACGGAGGCTTGTTGTTGTTACAGATAGTGTTGTTGAGGTGGTGATTGAGCCGCGCCAATATCCCTTGCGCGATAACGTGGTCCCCGCCGGTTCCGATCAGCTCCGCCGCGTTGAACAGCTGGTTGATCACTGCCGACTGGCTGTCGCAGACCAATTTTGGCGGAGGCGGAGGCGGTTTCTGCCGGCGACTATGAAACGTGTCGTAACCAGGATCCGAGAACGGTAAAGCCCTCTGGTTTTGGTGAAAATCGGGCTGAGACCAGTTCGGACCAAAATTGAGATGCTTTGCCATCGGAGAAGATGGAGAGTTCGACAGCGGAGAGAAAAGTGCCGAACTTTGGTTGATTAGAGCCTCTAGATTCGTAATCTGAATTTTCTCCCCAAAGGATTCAGCGGGCTGTTCTTGAAACACAGCTTGAAGCGGTAAGCCACGATAAACGCCGTCGATCACCGAGCCGGACCCAAACCCGAATCCTGGATCCAGAGCCCCGAATCCGAAACCCGGGTCTCCGACATCTCCCATGATTAACCTGACGATGCTCTGTTCATGACCCGGCGAATCACCGTCGAGATGTTCCAAGCCAATCTGGCCCCATTTCTCATCGGCGACGGAGACGGCAGCGGTGGCGCCGTGGGAGGAAGACAGCACGGTGGTGGAGGAGGAAGCGAGAGGGCTCGGACTTCTCAGACCGTCGAGAGCAGACGTCGGCTCAGAGAAACCACTACTACTTCCGACCACATGGGAGAAATCTCCACCGATTTTCTGAGTGGTTGCCCATATTTTGTCTTTCAAGGAAGAATCTGAACATAGTGAGGAGAAATCCAGACCCCCCTGCCCTTGAAATTGTTCAAAGGGTAGGGGCATGGCATTCGGTCTAAGGAACTATCGATCAGAGCAGATGGAAACAGTGAAAATCCAGTAAACCCTAGATCTCAGAACAAATAAGATTACGAAAGGAGGGAGGGAGAGAGAGAGAGACTCAACAGCTTGGGTACGGAAGAAGAACACATGCAGAAGCTCAAAACTTGTAACTGGCGCCCACTTTTTTTCTCAATAATCATCTCTTTTCTTCATCTCTCTGCCGTGATATGGATGCGTGCAACATGTAAAAGTGGTAAAAGCGGGTCTCCATCGATGCTCTCTCATCTCTGGACTTTTCTCTCTCTATTTTCCTTTGTTTATCATCTCTCCTTTTCTTTCATTTTCTGAGTATTTTCCTTTTCCCCTTTTTCTGTGTGGCTAAGTGTCTGTATATATACTTATCTACATTTGTAATCTTCTTGTCATCGTTACCACGTAGCGCGTGTCTCCACTCTCTCTGTTTTCCTTCATTTTCTCGGCGTTTCTCGGTGAACAAACAGGCTGAGAAATCCAGCCCCCCGACATACCCATTTGCGAAATTGTGTCACACCATGTTCCACTAACTTTAAGAGCAATTTAAACCGTAGATACGAAAACACTGTATAAAATCATTACGGATACCAATGGAAGCTTGCAGAACAAAAGTTGAATTTGACGCAGATGGTTCGCTTGTTTATTTTTTAGAGTTCCCGAAACACCCCTGGGACGACGCAGGGGTATTTCAGTAATTACGGGGAACAACTCTGCAGGTGCCCTTGGCTTTTTTGGAGATTTTGAAGATATCGAGACAAGCCTACCAACGGCTCAGATCGTCTGTCTACTAGATCGTGTGGCTCTAGATTGCATTGGATGCTTTTCTCCAGTTTATTAAAATTTAAAAGTTAGTGTCATACAAACAAAATCTAGGATGGTGACGACTTTAAACTGACGGTTATATTATATAATACTCACGTTTCAAAATGTTGGTTGTTTTAACTTTATTTCACATTTTTTTTAGAAATAAAAATAAAAATCATATATATCTTTTATTTAATAATAAAAACAATATTATCATTAATAATGTATTGGAATTTTTTATTTAATAATAAAAACAATATTATCATTAATAATGTATTGGAATTTGGTAAAGATAAAATTGGAAATTATTTTAAAAAATATATTGGAAATGTAAAATGATAAATATTTTGAAACATGGATAATAATCTAAAACTATAAATATTTTGAAACGGAGGGAGTATTTTTTTGCGATAAAAATAGTTTGATATAAATGTTTAAAAATCTAAAAATAAATTTCGAAAATATCGAGTCGTTACTATAATTTTAAAACCTTACGTACTTGTATTAAGAAATGAGACGAGATAAGCAGCAGTGGGATTTTCATTTTCCCAATACAACATTGAAATTTGAATGCCCAGGTGGCATCATCTACATTATTAGTACTCTCCGTTTCAATATAAATATCGTTTAGAGATTATTTTTTGTTCTAAATAGCTGTTATTTTATATTTTTTAGTTAATTTTATTTCTAATTCTATTTTTAATTAAAAATATCAAATTTTAATAAAATATTACTGAGAATATGATTTAATAAAGATATATATGATTTTTCAAAAATTTTTAAAATATGTAAAAAAAATTAAAATCATATTTATATTGAAATGGAGATTGACATTATATGGGTTTAGATAAAAAAAAAACAAATGTGTTTGTTTCGATTAAGAAATAACAGAAAATGTGGGCCCATACTTAGCATTTTAGTGGGCCTAACGGATATCATTTGGTTGCATCAATTATGGGCCTTGATCCACAAAGAAAAGCTGTCTCTTTCTGACTATTAATCCTTTTTAAACTATGTTATTATTTTCAATTAAATACTCTTTATTTTATTACTGTAGAATATTCCAATTGGAGCATTTTCTACAAAGAAAAGTCGCTACTCCAACTGCCATCTTTAATTAAATAACAATACGACTTAAATAATGGCTACGTGAGATAAAATTTAAATAATCGGCCCAAAAGGCCAAGGGTAATGTAACTAAAACGTGTTCTCCACTCAAAACGGGCCAATTTTTGGAGCGATGCAATCATTGTGAAATTTAATCGTATTTTGTTAATATTCGATTTACTTTAAACAAATAATTTTGAAGCGGAATTATATATATATAGAGTATTAAGTTTTGGATATTTAATCATTCTATTCTATTCAATTTAAATTTTTTCTTAAACTAAAATATGCACCGTTACAAGAATTTGGTCAACGTTAAAAGAACGATACATCATACACTATATTATTGTATTTATCTGCGGCGAAAGCTAACCCGAAGTTCACGTTATTTAACAACAGAACATTAAAAAAAAAAAGCAGGAAGAAGTCCGTTTTTTTTTTTCCAGAGTTTTATCCTTATCCATTCCGAGATCTATCGGCGTGAGTTTCTCTTAGCTTCTTCTCGATTTCTCCGGGATTACGAGGAAATAACTGAAGAAGCGGATTCTGTAACTTATTCGTTTCTGAAATCCGTTGTGGGTGCCGGTTGAATTAGGGTTTCGTTTGGGGATTTGGAGTTTTTTGGCGGAATTTAGATGTATTATTAGATTCTGATTGAAATTTTCCTGCTTAGTTCATATTTCAATTACTGGGTAATTTTTTTTTATTCTGGTCGGTTTTGGAATCTTGTTTGCAGCAATCCGAGGGAAAGATGAACAAAGGCAGCTTCAAGTTGGATCATGACTTCGGTATGTGTTTTCGTTTGTTCTGTTGACTATATATCGTGATCTCACTCTCCGATCAATACAACATATACATGTATTGGTGTATGTATGTGTGTGTGTGTGTGTATATGAAGCTTCGTGGGCGATTGTGCGCAGAGAAGAGGAAGGCTGAGGCTGCAAGGATCAGGGAGAAGTACCCTGACAGGATCCCTGTAAGCTTTTTATGTGTTTTGTCTTCGTATTTTATCATCTCTCATGTCTGCCTGTTTTTCAAAACATGGGTCTTGAGAAAATTTCTATTTAGTTTTTGCACTGATATCATTCGACCATAGCCCATGTGAAAATCGATGCTATGTTCCATGTGAAAGGGTAATGTTACATGATCCATAATCTAATGAAATATCTTCTATAACTTTGATCTGTGTCTAAGCCCATGAGGCTTCAGACAAAGCTGTGTTAGTTGTTGTTCCTCTGTTGTGAACCCTGCCCTTGTCTTGGCAGAGAGGCTGATAACAGGTTAAGACCAAATATCAATCAATGCCCATATTGATCACATGAGAATTCGCTTGCTTTGTCGTAGGTAATCGTGGAGAAGGCGGAGAAAAGCGACATTCCAAACATCGACAAGAAAAAGTAAGCCAGATCCGTTCGATCGTAGTACCATTATGCGTTGAACAAGATTGTTAATCATCTGAAACATCGGATAATCTTCACCCGCATTGTCGATCATAGTAACATTATGCGTTGGACAAGATTGTTAATCATCTGAAATATCGGATAATCTTCAACCGCATTGTCGAAATCTGCAGGTACCTCGTCCCGGCTGACCTGACGGTCGGCCAATTTGTTTACGTTATTCGGAAGAGAATCCAACTGAGCGCCGAAAAGGCTATCTTCATATTTGTAGACAACGTTCTTCCTCCCACAGGTATATCCTGCCTTACAATCCCTAGACCGTTTTTCTTCTAAAAAAAATCTTGTTTTTATGCCGTGTTGGTGCTTGAACTTGTTGCAGGGGCGATAATGTCGACGATCTACGACGACAAGAAAGACGAAGACGGGTTCCTCTACGTCACATACAGCGGAGAGAACACGTTCGGGTTCCCGGTTGATCTATGATCTGATATAAATCGAAACTCGGAAATCCTCTTTGGAATAATGGGAAATCAAAAGACGCAATTGTTCAAAGGGGTGTTAGTGTAAATACTGCATGGATCCTTGCATGTGCATGTTTCATAAGTACTTGATCATGTTCCTGAGACGGTCTGACACTTCGTAAATGTGTGTAATATTCTGTTTCAGTGGTTGTTTTCATCGTCAGTAAGCAATGAATGGCATGATTTCCTTGCTTCATAAATGTCACATCCCAATGTTATTTGCGCTTTGATCTCTCAGACAAATGGTTAAGGGACCAGACTTTTCGAAAACCGTTAATCCACATTTGATGCGTCCTGTTCTTCGCATGCATGGATCAGCACCATCAGAAAGACCTTGTGATCTGACGTGGCTATGGTTATGATGATGTGTCATCACACGTCGGCGGTCAGTCCTGAGGGACCGATGGCAAACGGGATGGCGGCACGGGTGGGGACGATATCCACGTGGCAACAGTGCGAGGCACATGGGGAAGTGACACGTGTCGAGGGTGGCGGTAATGGCGGCTAAGGGGCACCACCCTTGGTTGGTGCCTTCGGTGGTGTTCCACGTCGACTTGTCTGCTCTTGTTTTCCATGAATCCCCTCCTCCACGTCGTGGGCCCCACACTGCCCTCCTCTGTTCCATAGATCCGTGTCTTTGGTCCCACTCACACGTTACTTTTTTGTTTTTACATCTTTCCGTAGCGTATTCCTCCCACCCATGACCCTCCAGTTTTTTTTTTTTTAACTCTCAAATATTTTTTCCTAGTATTTTTCTTGCATAAATGGGGCAACAAATCGCCTTTGCGAAACGAAATCAGATCGTCACGTAAACAGGTGCATGCATGCATAACGCGATAAAACAAACAATCAATCAATGACATGGAAATTCTGCACCTTAATAACTATGGCTTGATCAAACATGAAGAGTTAATACACGGCGATCGATCACTCTTTGGCCAGACGTTACGAGGAAGAAACAAAAAAAAAAAACAAGATTATTAAAAGTTTGACATGCATGCTTGGTTTTTTGGATAAACTTGCCATGCAGACATACATATGTGTACGTGTTCGTAACTAAGCAGAACTTATACACGATGTATATATATATATATATATTCCTCTAACCACCACATATACATATTACTTATTCCTTTTTTTCCCTTGCCATGAAATGCCACAAACGGGAACATTCTTGGCGAGTGATGTTTTCGCCATTGAAAATATCGATACTCGATGTTGGGCTTCCCGATATTTAGAAAGACAAGAGTTTTTAGGGAGACAGGCTGACAAAGGAAGGCATAAAACCATGTTAAAATGCTTAAACTCCTAGGGCAGAGACAATGGACTGTGATCTTAAAAATTGAACTCCTAGGGATAATCAACCCAAGCATATATTCATTTAACTTCTTTCATTTGTTCGTTTTTAGGACTCGCTAGATTTTCTCCTCATCAATTTAACGCAAATCAACATTATAATAATCTTATAATTATTGTTATATATACATGATACATCTCTCTCCAAGCGCTACAAGTAGCCGAGTGAAACAAGTGGTTAGGTTTCTTCTGTTTCCCTGGTTGGGTCGGTCGATATCTCTCTCAATGGGACCCGTTTGATCGGAATTGGTCAGAGAAAGGGACAGGGGAGGACCCCTCCATATCCAACCCTCACGTCACTTTTCCTCTCATTACCCATACATTTGCATGTTCTTCATGGATAGACTCCTCTCTCTGCATTTATTACGTCCAATCTCCTCCTCCTTTACAAATATCACGCTTCCCTCATAGCTTCTACGACCACTATCTTCCCCACAAAAAATAAAAATCCTTTGCGATACCCTTTCCTTCAACGAGAGTTTCTCTTAATTTGATCTACCGGTTGAATATGTCTGCAAGCTCTTACCGCCTCATTCTTCTCTTTCTCCTCTTCGCATGTATTCGTTTATGTGACGCTCGTCGTCTTTCTTCTATGGAAAAGAAACTTGATGTGGACCATAATCACTTAAACAAGAAGGTAAGCATCTGGAATTTTAATTTGTTCACTTTTCGTGTTATACACAATACGTGCACTACCCTCCGCACGCTTACGTGGAATTACTTAGCATGGTATGTTGAAGATTGTAAATTAGAGTAGTTGTAATGGGCATATTTCTTTGTTTCAGACCAACGTTTTTTTATCAGTGTACCGTCAACCTAGCATATAACATCGATGCACCATACCAACTGAGACTGACGATATATATACATATATATATATGCACAATATTTGTATTCATCGAGACTTGGTGAATTTGAACGTGGAAAGGCATGTCCTATAGATTTTTAATTAGTTGATGTACTCTTGATTAAACACTAACAGATTTCACGCTTTCCATGTGACCAGTATGAAGATGAAAGCTTAAAGTCGAAAGCTTTTTCAAAAGAGAAGGCCGACGTATCGAACCAATCACCGAGAAACGATCGAACCGATAAGTTGGATCAATCTGATCGGTCCAATAACGACAAAGCTGGAGTTCATGTCCGGAAATCGACGATGGACGATAAACAAAGACGGAAACGTACTTCAATAGACGAGACAACGTCGTATAAAGAGGTTTCGAGATCATGGAAGGTGGTTCCGCAGAAGGCGAATCGCCGTAGAGAGGAACATCCTGGTTTCAATCTTGATTACATGCAGCCCTCCATTCACCCCCCTCACCATAATTAGATAACTTCCCCTGACCATACCGATCGAAGTCAAACATATAATGTTTTTCCACATGTTGACTTGTGTCTGGTCCAAGATGACACTTAAAAAACTCCTTGTTAGAGATCTAGATCTTAAATTTCTAGTTTTTGGTTTCACGGAGCTTTTTTATTTTTATTTTTAATTCCATTATACGTTATGGTGAGGTAATATATTGTACATTATTAATTAAATATAGTGTTTTACTCTGACGTTGAGTTCCTGTTTAACTCTTTTACCTAGTGCCTTTGACTATTTCTTCACTTGATATTCTCGCATTGTTTTTCTATAAATTCACGCGTGCATGCATGCATTTGTATTCGATCGTGTACATGAAAACGAGCATGTCCATTACAAAAAAAAAAAAAAAAAAAAACATATGCATGTCTACGCTATACAACATTTTTACTCGCGTATAAGCTTAAAATACTCCGCATTTTTTTATTGTATTTTATTTGTTTCGTATGTGTGTATACGTGCATGCAATGGACCTTTTTTTTTTTTGGAGTCTTAAGCATACGTTGCTATTGAATTGCGCGCAAATCCACGCGACAAATTTAACGTGTGTGTATATAACTGCGTCGATACATACAATCGACAATGAGAGACAAACATCCCGCATTAGGATCCTTGATAAAAGGCGACGCTTACGGGTTTATGCCACTTCCCGATGTCATGTTCGGGTAAAATCGAAGTCTTTTCACCATTTTGTTAAACTATTGTCAATCGGTCGGTCCATCTAAAAAAAACGGTTATTTTTACGGTTTATATATATCTGTAACGGTCAAATTTAATAGAAGTAATATTAGTGTTAGTCTTCTGAGTTGTCTACAGGGACATTTGGAAAAATATTCGTTAGGATCTTGCTGAAATAAAACTATTGAATGATGGTTAAAGAACTATAAAATGTTAAAAAAATATATATAATTATGGTTCGTCTGCAGGTTAAAAAAACGATGTCTTTTCCTAGTCCGCCAACGCATTTCCCAGTCGCTTATCTATATCTATTGTCCACTTTAACAACACGGTAACCATCCCGATTGCTCTTTGAATAGAAATAAAGAAATACGATATAATATTAATCACACAAAGAAAAACGAAATACCGCAGAATACTTTACGTTGTGGAATATTATTATCTATTTTCTTAAAATTGACTAAAAAAGAATTAATGTTGTTAGACTAATATTTTATTTGGTAATTAATGATTTTGGACGAGTATTTGTCTTTTTCTCGGAGACACTCTTAGCCTCTAGGGCCGCCAGAAGGTTTATAACAAATGGCCCAAAGTTCGTGCAATTGAGGCCCAATTTAAAATGGGCCTGATTATCTCTAAAGCCTGACATTTACTTTTTTGCTCAATGACAGCCTGAAATATTTCCCGCCAAAATCATTTTTTTTCTGGAATCTGAAAATTTAATCGAGAGAGAAAGAGAGAGAGAGAGAGAGAGAGAGAGAGAGAAATGGAGGCCAAGGAAGCCGGATCTTCGCTGGATTCACTGATTTCTACCTTCAACAATCGTATCAGCGAGTTGCAGGAACTCGTCATCGCCAGAAACAGTGAGCCACTCGGACACGCGGCTTGATGCGATCCGCTCTTCATCCAACCGCTGACGATTTGTTCTTCCGTGTCCTGCAGTGTATCCGGCGAGTAGTATCCCCGATTTATCGGCGATCGATACGGCGTTGAAGGCCATGGAGCTCCAGGTGCAGTCGATCAAGGACCGATTGCGCGAAGAGACTGATGCAATTCCCAAAGCCAAGGTGTGTCTCGGCTCAGTTAGGTTAGGTTTCGTATTGATTGAGAACGTAGGATTGAAGATGACCTCTCGTTCGTTCCGATTTTAAGGGGAGATGTAGAACTCCCCCTGGGCTTCGCGATCTTAATTTAATTATACCGTTGTCGCTTGTAGAAACTTATAGAGGCGTCCCTGCAACAGCAAAAGAAATTGCAGAAGATGTCTGTTTACGCACTTTCTCATCTTCCTGACAGAACGACGATGTTGAATTCAGATGTCAATAGAAGGTATATATACGAACTAGTCTTTAGCCTTTCAGCCAGTTCCTAAGCCGATTTTATTGTAAGATATGTTTTACAATCTAGGCACTTCATTTCTTTCAGTTTGCTACAAGAAAACGCCATGCGACAAGAGCGGAGTTCTGGTTTCAACTCTTTGAAAGTCCAGGAGGAAGCTGTTGTGTTACCCAAGGTAAACATGTGTAGCAAAAACCTGATTTTTCTTTAAAAATGGTTCAAAATTTGCTGAATTGATTGTTCTACATTCAATAAGACTATATGAGAAACTGTAGCCTATCCTCTATTCTGTTCACAAAGGACTTGATGTCCAGTTTTTGCCGCTTATTTCCAGGAGAAAAAGGGGCGTGGGTCTCCTCCTCTCTGGTTCATTACTGCAGAGGAACTTGGATCCCTCTCTTCGTAAGTATTTCCGTCCTTTATCTTTCTTATATCACAAACACATTGCTTGACTTAGCTTTTTCCCGCCAAGGTACATGAGAGGAAGGCTAACACTGGAGAAGGTTAATGCGGCTATCAGTGATATGGCTTCATACGCTGAAGCAAATGCTCAGCTTATTGTGGCCCCAAAGAAGAAGGTACTGCTTCCGTCCAACTATTTGCTCCAGGATTTGATTATTTTGATACATTCTTAATGATATTTGTGCATTATGTTGTGAAGCTGGCAGAAAATCTCTGGGAAAGAGCACTGGTAAGCTATACCTCATTGGTCAAACTTCTAAGGTGAAAAGATTATTTTTATTACAAATAAATTGCTAAAAAGTCATGGTGGCGACGATGTTTGTTTCATCCTTTCGCGAGCTGTTATTTTAACTGGTTTTGGTATTGACAGTGGCTGTGTATTTCCTATCTTCATCTGCTTCCGAAACAGCTCTTTTCAAACTCCGAAAATATGGTTTTGTTTTGCTTGATACCTTGTGAAATTGCTGGGGAGGGCCATGGATTTTTTATTTGTGAATTTGTTTTGACAACTCTATCTAGGAACTCCGCGATATCGGAGCAACAGAAACAGTTAAGGGGAAATTCTTCTTCCTTGAATCTGACATGAAAGGACCCGTGTTGAAACTGGACAACACTGGAAAAGCAATAGTAACAGTGAGTTCTTCCTTCATTTTAATGACATTTTGTGTATGTAACCCTCATTTATCACTGGAGCTATGCTTATTACTCATATTCTTAAGGTGTGACCAATCATGCCCAAGTTCTTCTGCTACTTTGTCAATTGGTATGGTTGGGTCGAAGACTTGGGCTTGTTGGATTTGCTGTATGAAGTTATGAACTGGAATAATGTTATGGACAGAATAAACTGTAAGATCCTTTTTTTATATTGTGATGTAAAACAGGTTCTTCGTCACCTTGGTCGCATCAGTGAGGCTCGCGTTGGTCATCAACGTGTAATCATACTTGTGAAGCCCCACTAGAACCTGCCTTCACTGCCTTCTGCATGTACGTTCCTTTCTACTTCCTCTAATGTTATCTTCTTGTAGACTTTAAAAACTCATTCATACGTCCACAGATTAACAAGCGATCATCTTGCACTATGTCTAAGATAATTATGGTGTTTACTGACATGTCAAAATAATGGCGTTTTCATCTGAAACAGGCCCCATTGCAGATAGGGCTGTGACTGTAAATTGTTTAGTACTAACCAGAGGAAAGTTATGAGACCAGAGCAATAATGCAACTATTTGTTTGGCTTATCAAAATATACACTGACTGGATCTTATCTTGAGGGTCCGAATGAAATCTAAAGACACTTGGGTTGAACAGCTCAGGAATCAGCCTATGGAGCCGTATCCTGTGCATTCAAACAAGTGAAAAAAAAATACGACTTTTTCTTACACATTGCAGAATGTCCCAAACTGACATCCCTTTGCAAGTTGCAAGGACCAGTTGGTGAAGAGTTTTGTTGTCCCATTCAGTATCTGAGATATTACAACATTTTATGCACATCATAACCTTCTTCTATATAAATGATATTGCAATCTTGTGCATATCATAACCTTCTTTCTTCTCAATTGTAATATCCGCTGACTGTCCTAAAGCCCCTAAAATACCGAAGATCCCCCAAAAGGTCTCGCCCGTTATTCCAAATTGCCCGAGCGATACCCTTAAGCTCGGTCTGTGTGGTGATTTGTTGAATGGATTGGTTAGCCTTTGTTGTAGGCAAGTACTTCTGCTGATGTTGAAGCTGGCTACTTGGTCTCTACACTGCCCTTAAGGCCAATAACCTTAGTCCTCCTGTTAGAGTCTTAGATTGAAAATATATATCCCAACGCCGTGGACGTTGTTTAAAGGGACAGTATTGGTAAATGTGCCACATTAAAAAAAGAGATGGATTTGGGACCAATATATAGTTTTTGGGTGGAGATAAGACCCAAATTATATCAAATTGGTATCAGTGTCAACCGATTTTTAGACATGCAGACGACGCGGCGCGAGAGGAATGATCGGGAGAGGAGCACAAAAGGTGCGTAGTCGCCAGCGATCGAGAAGCTGTTAGTGTTGTGGTCGTCGCTGTCTAAACGGACGGTATTGTTACCATAATAGAAATATTTGGGACAATTGAGTATATATTGGAATATGGGCATCCCCTCTCACCAAACTAATTTTTGGGATAAATTCTACCCATGAACCTTGAGATTTAATTGGGCCATTATTTCATTGTTTGACATACAAAATCAAAATAAATAATATATCATTGCAATGTTTAAAATTAAATTAATCGAATTCAAACAAAACAAAAAATCATTTTGAAAATAAATATTTAAAAACAAATAATTGGAATAAAAATTAAAATATAACTGGAATGGAAATGGCGAGCCTCAAATAATGATATGGGGTTAGTGGCCCAAGCCCATAAGAAAGTGATTTTTAATACCAACATATATATATGTGTGTGCGTGTGTATTCTTAAACCCTTATTTTCTTGGCGAGGCTTTAATTTTACACAAGATGGTTACAATTTATTTAGGCATAGTTGATAAGATTAGAGAATATTAAAATTTTATAGAAACCCACAATTTCCATATTAGTGTAGTTTAAGTATTTTTACTATATGTACATTGGATTGGTGAAAGACAAGGAAATAAATAATAAATGGAGGGGAGGGGAGGTTTCAAATGAAGTGGGTATAAATAGACGGTCCAAAAAACAACATGGAGAGTAAGATGTGCAAAACCAAAGTGGTCCCCCGATTCATCATCCAAGAACACGAGCGAGCAACGACTATTTGCATCAGATTCATACACATATATCAAAATGTCTGTGCCACAGTTTTGTCTTATTCTGGTAAAAAAAAAAATCTAAAAAAACAAAATTTTAGTAGTGTCGTCTCTTTTGGGCGTGCAATAAAAAACAATTCCCAAATAAAAAGACAGAAAACAGACTCGGTGTTTTTTTTTTCTTATCATATGATAAAAACTCATTACACATAAAAGTTGTCAATGACCTCGTCTCCTTCCTTAACGTATCAGATAATGGAACCAAGTAATATACGGTCCGGGCCAAATGCATTTATTGAAGGATTACTAACCATAATGGCCGCATCCAACTATGGCCTTGAATGGTAGGAGTTTTTGGAGTTTTTAGAATCCAAAAACAAAAAAAAAACAACATTCAAGTTTTTACAAAATTACTTTTCCTAAAAACTAGGAAAGCCATTTTAGTGAAAAAATCAATGAAAAACCAAAAGCTACTTTTTTTGAGTTTTCAAATATTATAAAATCCAAAAGCCAAAAACCAAAAACTAAAAACCAAAATCCAAAAACTAAAACCAAAAACCCAAAATAGAAGCCATATATTTCAATCTTCTTCAAATTCTCGAATAGATGAAGAATCAATTCCCTCGAAATCGATCGTTCAAATCTATCGATCATTCCCACAAAATCGGAATTGTGGAAGATGGCAAATGAATATGGATACGATGAAGATAAATTAAAAACATAAAATCAATTAAAAAAAATATTATTAATTGTGTCGATTATAACGAGAGTAGGCACATTAATTTGGATAAATTTTGAATTACCCAAACGTTAAAATTCATTTTAATTGTTTCAAAGTTCTCCGACCGCTGCATCGACCAAACACATTGATTGCTAGTCAGTAGAATAGTGGTAATGTAACAATGTGCCCCCAAACACTAATTTCCTCACCTAAAAGCCCAACTCATAGTATTAAATCGTTGAAAAGTATTCGTGGAACTCGTCGATCTACGTGGCCAACAAAAAGATTTTGACAAAATCAATCGGCTGAGATCTTTCCGTATCTTTTTTTTTTCTGCCAATAAATTCAGATATATAAAAATTAATATACCGACTACTCCACGTGTATTATACTTCTTTATGCTCGCCATCTCGCTATTCCGTCCGTATAACCTAGAATCCTTAATAGAGCGGAGCCCGTTGCGGCGGAGTATTCTTTCGCCGGTTCAAGAAACTCGCCTGACCTCCCGGAGCCGGCGAAGATTCCGCCGTGATTCTCCGGCAAGACGCGCCCAAGCTGCTTCTCTTTCTCCGCACGATCTCGGTGGTCGCGGCGGTGCAGACGAGGGTCCTGCACCAGACTACGCCGTCGTTTCCGCCCGACCCGGAAGACGTCCGGTTCGACCCGACCGGTTCGAGAGTGGAGTCCGGCGTCATCAGACCTTCGTCTAATGCATTTTCCGTTAAAGGGAGAAACTTGCAATCACGAAGAAACCCTGAGAGGTCGCCTTGTCGTTTCGTGACGTCATTAATCTGAAATTAACAAAAGATTTACCTTTTTTTTTAAAGTTCAGAAAAGGTAGACGTGTGCGTATGCGCATACACGTATGCGAGTGTGTATGCGTGTATCGAAAAACGAACATCGACCCAGATGAGGAAAGGTGCAAAATTGAACTGGGCAGGCAAGAGAGATTTGAAACAAGTGCTCAATTATGGATAAAAAAAAAACGTTACTTTTTCGAAGAAAAAGAATAAAGAAAGGAGAAACCTTGCAGGAGATGGAACAGAAGAGATACGGAGATTGGAGGCTTCGCTCGCAGGTGCAGCAAATGTTGCCGGTTACCCTGAACTGTCTTGTCGGCGGCCTTTGGTTGATGAATACCACTTTTGCGCTGTTCGTGATGTATGACTATCGCATGAATAATCAAATACGTCAAAAAGATTTCAAATCATCCGCGAATTACGCTACGCGTCTTAGTCGAAGAAAATCGGTGTGATTAGGCACGATAACCCATGAGAATATCTCCTTTTTTGCTTCGTCTTCCTCTTCATCAAGAATTAACAACTAAGACCTCTCCTTCATGCGATTTCAGGTGCAGATTTAAAGAGAAGAAATGGAGTGAAATCATAGCAGACTTTAAGAGAAGGTACCTGGATAAAAGAGCAGTCCATCAAGCTTGAAGCGTCCTCCAGCCTCAAGACGTCGTGATAAACATACCTTCTTATCTGAAAATTTCCACATGAACAAAGAATCAGAGCTTTTTTCTTTTTCTGGAGACGGAATTCGGGAAAAAAAATAAGGAGAGAGAGGAACCTGGAGAAGACGGTGAGAGGTGTGGGAGGTGAAGCAGTGAGGGCAGATGGTGAGACAGCAGTCAAGGCAGAGAATGTTCTTCTCGTTCTTCTTGTCTTCTTCATGGACCAAACAAGCGTTGAAGAACTTCTCCTTCAGTAACACCCCAAGCCATGCGGGATTCTCCCCAGATCCCAACTGCATCATTCACGCCAAGTTTCGACCTTTCATTTCAATTTCCCATTTTTGTTCTTCCACCAAAAAACCCATCAGAAAAAAAAAAAGAGTTTCAGTACGAGAAAACCAAATATCAAGACACCCACCATGGCGGAACCACTTGTGTTCTTCCTTCTTATCTCTTCCTTGTTCCTTCTTATCTTCTCGGATGCGTCTCTGAGAAGAGAGAGAGAGAGTAATGGTCAGGCGGTTTGAGCTCTCAGTGATGGAATTCACTGACCATTCGGGGGGAGAGAGAGAGAGAGAGCGGCCGGCGTCTGGAGAGACAGTGCCACTAGCTATTTAAACGAGTTTCCCTCTAGGATTGTGAAATATGTTCCTCTAGTAGCCTTTTTGTTTAATTAGTGATTACAAGATTTGGATTCTCTCAGTTGTATTTAAGCTCCGTATTTTGTTCGCCCTAATGACTTTTTTTTTGTAGTAATTAATTTTTTTTTGGTACATCAGTCAAAATTCATTCGTGGGTCTGGACTTCCGGGTATCATATGAAACGATAAAATTCAACTAATTGTTAGTTAGACGTTTTAAGAGGTTGGTCCATACATTCTCAATTAATCGTTATGTGTTTGGTTTTTGTTTTATTTAAATATTATTTAGACGTTGGTTTGGTTGGCGTCGAGGTCTGGTACTGGCCACACTGGGGGGGCTCTCTGGTTACTGTGCAAAGTGCAAAATGACAAGACCCCTTGCAGTCTCTTTTCCCTTCTCTCTCTCTCTCTTGTTTTTGTAATTTCCCATTTCTCGATGGCAATTCCGTAAAACCAATTAGACAAAGGTCCAATAACGCACCTCCTCCACTCACTAGTTACTTGTTTCATGGAACAACGAAAACAGAATGCGTAGCCCGTCATAATTATAAATAGAATTGATCATATTATAATATTTCAATATTCCGAGACATTTGTCTAAGAACAGCGCAAAGTTTATGGGAAAATAAAAATAAAAATTACACGCCTCACGACGTACCAAATAACATTCTAGATTGTAACGTGTGGTGAGATCTAAATGTAAGAAATAAGGTAACGATTTATATATTTAATTTAATTTAATAATAAAAAAAATAAGGCTAGAGAGGAGGGGAGGGTAGACAAACGGGGTGATGATCAGAGAAGGCGTACGGAGCAGCCAGCAGGAACGGCAGACGACGACTCACACCCCGCAGCCAGCTGTCACCTTTCAATACTTTTCCTCATTCGTACGGGTAATTTTGTAATTTCACTTTTAATGGGCCTCGGCCTTTCTCCTTCTTCATAGTTTTGTCTTTGTGAGCCCATTGGTACTAATTAATGGGCTTTATGGGCCCATTTGTGCATCCCGTTTTCTCCTTCGGTCCGCTCGGTTAATTTGCGCATATACAAATATCCACATAGAGTGTGTTTATATATGTGTATATATATGCGCGTGTGTGTGTGTATATAACACTGAATGCTGTCTGCTAAAAGCATCACAAAGGCATCAAGAAAGCGGGAAATAAAGCAAAGCCCAAGATGAGATTTGGAAGACATGCCTTGCAAAGTTGCGTTGGATGCCATGATGAGTCTTGGTGGTCAATCAAAGCTTTCCTAATTTGTTGTAACGGCAGAAAAGAATATCAATGGGAGACAAGACAACACCAAAACCCTCTTTCTGGAACGGAGGCTAATGTTTTTAGGCGACAAATCTTATTAAAATCGTACCACCAACTACAAAATTCAATGCAGTTTTAATAGTAATATTAATGTATATAAATTAATGGTAAATACAAAATGAAGAGTGGGAAGCCTCAACTACACGATGGTGCGTTTCACATTTTATAGATTTATGCGTCGACGTAGAAGCCAAGAGTAGTATTTTGAACGAATCAAATTCCACACGAATGCCAAAAAAATCACATGAATATGGTTTAATTAAAACTTTGTTTTTTTAAACCAAAAAATAAATAAATCTTTGTTCTAGACGATGTCTGTGATGCAGCCAAGTGACCAATGCAGTCGTTTTAGCATTTTTTTCCCTTGTTACCGTTAACCAAATCGTCAAAAAAAAAAGTCAGCGGATTTGGCGATGAGCGTGAAATAAAAAAATAAAATAAATTCATTGAAAATAGGAAAATAGAAAAATAGAGAGAAAAAAAAAAACACAGGAAAATGCACACGCGAAGGGAAGGCTCTGCAAATCCCAAACCGGCAT